AAAAATATGAATTAACTATCAATAAGATTATTTTTTAATAGAATAATAATTCTAAATATATAGTTAATTTGATAAAAAAATGATTTGATGATAATAATAATATTATTTATTAATTAACATAACCATTTAATTTAAATTTAATTAAATATTTATGAAATGAAATAGATTATTATCTTTTATATCTTTCTAGATTAGTTTTAAATACAGAAGACTTATAGAAAAAAATATAATTGATTTGAAAGAAATTAATATGAATTATTATATAAATTTAATTTATTTTATATTAAAAAAAATTTGTAATATAATAAAAATATATAATAATTATATTAAATAATAATATATTAGATATAGTTAAAAATATAAAAATATAATATTTTATTTTATATTGAGAGTTATATAAATCCATATTAAGAATGAGAAATATAATATAATATTAAAATTAAATAAATATTATAATTGTGATATAATTGATTTAATAATTTGCATTAAATTTATTATATTTAAGTTATTTATATATATAATTAAATTTATCAACTATAATTTGATATTCTTAAGTTTATATAAAGATATTATAATTTAATAATTTTTAATTTTGTATTATATTACTTTTGATCATTATTATATATATATTTTTATACTTATAAAACTATAATTTAAATTTTTTAATTATTTTAAAATATATTTAAAAAAATGCTTATCTTGTATATAAAAGAAAACTTGAAAATCTTGTCTTAATTATGTCTTGAATTCTTATCTTGTATTATATACTTTATATTATTTATAAAACATCAAGATTGAAAACAATAATAATAAAGAATTATTAATAAATCTATTATAAATCTTGTTTTTAAGAATTATATTTATAATAAAAATCTTGCATTCAAAGATCTTCTGCTATAAGTGATATTTAAAAAACTGGCAATAATAATATTTGATATAAAAATAAAAAATATTAATTTTAAAATAAAGATTTGCATTTTATTAATTGATTATAAAGAAATTTGACTATATATCTTGTGATTAGATCAAATATCTTATTTAATTTCAGTTATTTCATATTTGATATATTATTATATAGAAATATTTCGATTATATAAAGCTATACCTTTGCTCAATATACAAGAGATATATCACTCTGTTTTGATATGTGCTACTTCGTGCAAATATGTTCCAAACAACTTGATCCCATTGATATAATTTGAACGGTCGAGTTTTTCATTAATAGAATGAGCACCCTTAAAAAAAAAAGAAGTAAGTTTATTGAATGAATTTTGAATAAATTAAAAAGCGAGTTAAACTTACATCATCCTAAAGCGTAGAATTTAGATTGGATTTAATGAAGATAAAAATTGCTTTGGTTAGTAACAAGAATAATGTTGTGACATAACGAATTTGAAAGCTTTTTCTCAACCGACCCCACGTCCCATCGGCAAAAGTAAAACATTTTTATCTCCTAACGCTTCTTGAAAGGTTAATGTCACTGGTATGGATCCACCTTCTCGTGTCAAATCGGGTTTAACATGATACACCTTTTCAACCGCTTTAGCAGCCGCGACTTGTTACATAAAAGGCGAAGATGAATATAAATTGATCAAAAAACAAAAGAAATCTTTGGTTGAAAAATTACACGAACCATAATTCCAATGGTCAGTATTGGCCACCCACGGTTTACCATCATGGATACACTCTAGCTTCATCTTATTTTTACTGCCCAGTTTGGCAAACTCTTTATCCAAAAATTCAGTCACCAATTGCGTAACCTTATCAGGATCCATATTTGGCACTGTCCGGATTGAAAATTTTCCGATAACTTTTGCGGGAATTACAGTTTTTGCACCTGGCGCGGAAAATGCGCCTTCAATTCCATGTAAAGAAAGAGTGGGATATCTCCAGCTAATGGATTTTAAAGATTTTTGCATATTTAATCAAATGTAATCAGAGAATTCAATGATCTTTTACCAACCGGTGCATCAATGTATCAATCTCATTGTCATGAATCGAATTATCGGAGTCAATAGCATCATGCAGTTCTTGTTGTTTAAATTGAATGGTTTTGTATGTGTTACTTTCCGTTTCTATCGCGCGCGCAATTTAATAAGAAAATTATCAAAATGATTCGATAATTTTAAATCACGTTATTTATAATTTAGATCAAACTAACCATCTAACTTGGCTACATCATCATAAATTCCAGGAATTAGAATATGACCATCCGCTTTTACCAGCTTACTAAATAAATGGGCTAAATCAGTCATTGGTTCATGAACAGTTCCACCAAACACGCCTGAGTGAAGATCTCGTCCAGGACCAGAAATCGTAAGTTTGAAATATGAAATACCGCCTTGATTTCAGCGTTAGAGAAATCGTTATTTCGCGGATGAAACCCAAGAATTAATAAATTCATTAATAGAAAATACTTACGTAAGCCATAAGTCAAACATGGTTTTGTAGTGCCTAACCAATAATTATCAGAGATAGTAACGCAATCCACATCTTTGAAATAGCCTTTAGCCTCACGTACAATCAAATCATCTATGCCTTCAGATCCACTCTCCTCCATACCTTCATAATTGAAAATTAATGTTCAATAATTTAATATTGGTTTTTGTACTTTAGTTACAAAAATAAAGTCTCAAGATGTCTATCACCTTCAAAGCATATTTTGAGATTAACCGGAAATTCTAATTCCAATTTCTGATACGCTTCAATCGTATTCAACCAGCCAATAATTGGACCCTTATCATCAGAAGAGCCACGACCAAGAAGACGACCTTGTGAGTCTTCAACTAATTCCCAAGGATCGGTGCCCCATCCATCTTCTTTGAGAGCCTTTGGAAAAACGTATAATTATCTATCAACCTATGAAAATAATCGAGATGATATCAAAGATAATCACTTACAGGTTGCACATCATAATGCCCATATACCAAAATAGTTTTTTTGTTTGGATCGTTACCGTAGCTGCCTAAAAGGATCTTAGGTAATTTAAGAGTCTGACCATCCAATTCATGGGTGCCTATATCTTCGGCTTTATAGCTTTATTAATTTATAATAGAAATTAATGAAAATTCTATCATGAACTTCTTATATTCAAACATAATATTTCATACACACTTAATCCCAAGCTCCTCAAATATTCCAATTAACCAATCTCCCATGCGGAATACATCATTGCGATACGAAGCATCACCGCTTACGCTTGAAATTAAAGAACCAATTACAGGTATATTAATTATCAAATTGATTACACAATAATTGAATGAAACTACAATTACGTGGGATTTTATTATAGCCAAGGCAACTTTCACATTTTAAATGATGCATTTATCTGAAATCATTATTTACCTTGGAATAGCTACAGCTTCTCTAAGCCTCTGAACATAGAGATCCTGGTTTTGATCGATATGGTTGTAAAACTTTTCAAGATCCATTTTGGTGAGAAAATAGGTGATCAAAAACCGTAAAAATATATATACCAAATATTTTACACGTGATTGTGTCAATTTGCACCCGAATTATGATACATTTGCTTATTAAGTATGAATTAGTTTCGGGATACCCGAAATTATGATGTATTTTATTTCGCGAAACAAAATGTAATCCTGAACTTTAAGTTTACTTCGAAGTTCGAGCATTATGCACGCTTATAAATTAAGAAGCGATTTGTAAGCTAAAAAAATTTAAGACTTTACATAATATTAAACTCGTGAAACTTCTTTATTTAATTTTCCAAAAACAAAAGAAAAACAAGAAATTTCCCAATCAGCAAAAGCTGAAGTTTCTGTATCTCTCTCTCTTTATTGAATATTAAAAATTCGTCCATTTTTGCTATGTCATAGCAAAAACTCAATATAATCTAATTAAGCGGTGACATTGTTTTGCATTGGATAGCTGACAAAAAAATAAAAGCAAAGCGATTAATCAAAGAATAACAAATTTCAGCGTTTGCCCCACGTAACATTATGCAATGTGTTAATGAGGAGAGAGCCAAACCATTTGTTTTTTTCTAATCTTAAGTTACGAGATTTTTGCCTATTACTCAATCATGCTCAAAAAATAATAGGTGTGATCAAGTAAACTTTATTTTTTTTAATTATAATTATTAAATAAATAATTTATCTTCTTAAGAGTCTTCTGATTACAAAATTGTCCATGTGTGTGTGATGACTTAATCGTCTTTTGAATTAAATATTTGGTTTTCGTGTATGTTACTTTTTGCAAACTAACGAGAGCGAGAGAAAAAGAGAAAAGCTATCAATCAAGAATGCTTGTTTCTGCTGACTACCGAAATAAATATACACACTATTACTCAGTTTAAATGAGGTTAATTCGCGTGACACTTTTGATAACCATAAATATAATTTCTATTTACGCGCCAGGTCGGATGTCGGAAAGACGCATCTCTCTTATATTTTAACAAAAAAAGAATCGACAATAGTAAAAAAAAAACAAAAGTTACAAATATCACAAAGTTATTTTAATACTTGTTTGCTCTCTCTTAATTATAATGCTATTATATTACGGCCATTATTGGGGTTGATGAGGATTTTCCTAATAATAAACTTGTTCATACATACACACAAACATAAACAACACAGACGGAAATGGAATAGGGATACAGTTTGTTGCTATTTTGCGCAAATACAAGACCCAACAAAAAAACAAAGGCATTCATTATTGATTTCAAACATATTATAATTTATCCGCTAATGGTGGGATTGATATTGTAGTTAGAAATAGCGCAATTTGTGCGATTGTGCGATCACAATTGGAAGGATCAATTCCGCCCACATGTTAAAGAATTCACACACACACACACACACGCGCACACACACATATTCTATTGCGTTTGTTGTTTGGCTAAAAAAAAAAAAACGTCAACATTGAAATGTGGGTCGCGATGAACTCTATTATTATGTACATGTACTTTACTTCCACTCTGCATGAATATACACATAAAAATAGATAAAATCGTAAAAAACTTTAAGCTTAATGCAAGATATCAACATTCACGCGCTATTTGACAATACCTTTGGATACAATTCTTGGTATTGATCCCCATAAAAAGGAAACATTTGACATTTGCGACACATTTAAATATCATTTTTTGGGCTCCGTTCGGAAAGCAAACAAATCCTTTTCTTCATTTATTATTTATTCATTGTGAATCTTAACAACGACTCATACAACCAACACTTATTGTACCACTACCGCATTCACACACCAGCAAATCAATTTATTATTAATCATCATCAATAATTAACTCATTGTCATGGTAAGAATGCAGAAAAAAGTAGAAAATCCAGAATCTAATATAATAAAAGAAAGAACCAAGGGGCGCATGAAGCATAAAATGACGGCGTTTACGACGAGGACGAACGACGACAATCTAAGATTGGTTATATTATATGTATCACTATCATAATATATATATCTATATATCGATATGATGATTTATGACGATGATTTGTGAGTTTATTATTCATTATATAAGTTTAGTTATTTTCGATTAACGCGTGCGTTTATGTTTTCTGTACCACCCAACAACCTTTGTGTTCGCAAAGAACCGGAATTGGGAAGCCATTGTAGCCAGTTGTAGAAAAAAAGGGGTAGATGGAGTATACCATGTATGTTCAGTGAAATTTGAATGGTAAAATAAGTCGATTTCGTCATCAGTCATTTATTCTGAAAAAAAAAAAACCAGCAGATAGTAAATGGGAATTTTTGTTTCATTTACGGTTGAAACGACAATAATTCTCAAGGCTAGATTTAGTATTGGTTTTTTTTTGATTCATTAAATGTGTAGCATAAAGTCTTTCTTCCTGAAAAAGAACATCTTTGAGATTTCAATCTCATTCTCTCTCTTTTCTGACTGCAAAGATGGTTTCACAAGACAAATCAGAAAGACCAAACAGAACTTTGATTGAGAGAGCATGCACATGTTACGAATGCATACGAATGCAGTAACGACGAATTTTTTTTTGAATTTTAATAGTAAACGTTTTTCATTATGAATGACTTTTAGAGAATCTGTCATTGTTGTCAGCTTGGGCAACGAACTGACCTCATCGCGCCTCCCACCAAAAAATATAGTAAATAAAATCTGAAACGAAAAATGTTTGCACACATTTACATACAAATACATCCCATTCATACATACATTCATTGTACACGTATGCTTGATGTGTAGTCATCGCGAAAACTAACAATTATAGGTGATTTGTTTATTATTAGGAGGAAAAAAAAACAAACTTTAAGTAATTTGATATCGATATGACAATAGAAAGGAGATTGATTGATGTGAAAATCAGTAATTAATATAGTATAAAAGCGGTGACATAGTCGACGAGGGACTTTCTACTTATTTGTCCCAGTAATTCAACGATCTTTTATTTATTACACATTTTTGGTAACGTCGGAGATCGGTTATGGTAATGACAACGGCGTAAATGCGAAATCGCCCGACATTGTGATGCAATTTAAGAGAATTTTTTGTTTTTGTTATTGTTATGTCTGATTGAAAAGGCCGAGACTGTTGTGTGTGTGTGTGTGTGCGTGTTTTTGTGTGTGTGAATAGACGTCTATCGTCTCTGTGTGTG